ATCCATAGCAGCCCCCTAGCAGCCTCCAATCAGCATGAGACAGGGAAATACCTGAGATGCAAGATGACCCTCCCAGTAGTTTATGGTGATTGATAACGTGTTGGGAAACCATGTAGTTCAGCACGAACACACCTCTTGGCTTAAACCAATCAGTTCAAATGAATCCCCCTCTTGTAGTAACCAATCACCCCTACCCAACTTGTTCCCACCAGTGAATGTGCTAATCATGTTTTAGAGTTGTTATTTGATGTTCCCGTGGTGTGTGATGATTTGCTAAGAGATGCTATGATGTATGTGGGGATCCCTGCCTTCTCCAAAGAGTGTATAAAACAGCTGCAAACCCTGGGCTCAGGGCCTCTCAGCGTCACCAGTTGCTGTGTGTGCGCGGAGGACGGAGCTAGCTCGCAATAAACACCTCTTTGCTGTTTACATCGATCTTGGTCTCTGGTGGTCTTTTGGGGGTCCCGAATTCGAGCATAACACTTACTCTGCCTTTTCTCTCTGGGAACCTGATGCTTTTTCCCTGTTTCAGAGACCTCCCCACCTGCCAATGATACTTCTTCTTCTTTTTTTAATGCTAACATCCTTGGCCTTTGTAATAGTTAATTTGAATTGTCAATTTGCCACAGATTAAGAGGATCAAGAGGATTATGGCTTTGTAGATAAGGGTATGTCTAGGAATGAATGGCATGTGGGATAGCCAACTGAAATGGAGACCCTCCCTAAACATGTGCAGCACCAACCAATAGGTTGATGGTTTGGATGGAATAAAAGTTGGAAGAACAAAGAAGCAGCAGCTGATGAAAGCTGCATTCTTCTTGAACGGTTCTTGTTTGCTGCTGCAATTGTCTCAGGATATCAGACTCTCTCTTCTTCACTTTTCCAAAATAGACTCTGATAGTGATTTTCCAGAAGGCTTAGGTCTCAGACTAGAGTAGCACTGTTGATTTCTCTTGTTCTGGGGCTTCAGCCTCTTGGATTGACCAGCTATTGGTTTTCCAGCTCTCCAACCTGCAGGTGGCCCTTGTGGACTATCTAGCTTCTGGTCGTGTAGCCAACCTAATAAGTGCCCCCCCCCTTTTTTATACTGGGAATTGAACTCAGGGGCACTTGACCACTGAGCCACATCCCCAGCCCTATTTTGTATTTTATTTAGAGACAGGGTCTCACTGAGTTGCTTAGTGCCTTACCTTTGCTGAGACTGGCTTTGAACTCGCAATCCTCCTGCCTCAGCCTCCAGAGCTACTGAGATTACGGGCATGCGCCACTGCGCCCGGCCAAATCCCCTTTTTATAATTATACTTCCTATTGATTCTGTTCCTCTAGAGAACCTTGACTAATACAGCCTACTGCCTCCATGAGCCTAGAGCTTTGGTCATTCTCCAGCATTCTCGCCACAGCTAACCCACATGCCCATTCCAGGCCTCTCCTTGAGCCTCCACATATCACCCACAGACCATCATAGAGGGCTTGGGGAACTCCCCATGTTCTTCAAGGAGGAAGTTTCACTCTCTGCTTGAACCCTAACCCCCTCCCCAATTTCCTCTTCCCTCAGGCTTTGGAATGAGCCTGCCCTCCCAAGAAGCAGGTACCTCATTTCTGGGCCCTTGAAACCCATGCTCCCTCCAGTTCACCATGGCTGAGCCTCACCACTGCAGGCCTAGTACCTTGTCCCTTTGATAAATCACTCCTTCACAGTCCTGAAGGAAATATATTCCCAAGGGTAAGGAAGGCTGACTTGGTCACTCTGTGTCCACTAGCTTAGAGCTCACTTTTGGGGACTTAAAAAAAATTTAGCATACCGGGAGGTTACTATTGGTGCATCTGAAGCCAGACATCAGGGCCCTTGTGAAGTGTGGACTGCTGATAGGATGGGGGCGGGAGTCTCCTAGTAGGAAGTACCTCTCAGGGGCAGCAAGAGGCAGGGGCTTACATTCAACACAAGGACCATTTGCTCAGTCAGAGAATATCTGTAAACGACTTCATGTGTCAGGATCCCAAGCCCACACAGAGGTGCCCTGCCCTTGGAGTCTTCTCTCCAGAAGAGGAGAGTTGGCTACAACCTAGTGCTGGGGGTACATGGGGCCCAACCCTGAGGACCAGCATGGACTTCCTGGGGGAATGCATGAATGGGATGAACCAGGTGAATCCCTGGGAGAGGGTGACAGGATATGTCAAGGCTCCAGTTAGGATGACCTTAGGGGATGTCAGAAATAGGGGCACATGGTACGAACAGGGCCTGAGGACATGGGAGACCAGCCTGAGATTGGGTTCCATCATGGGCAGAGATGCTTCATGGGGCTAACTAGGCAGGGATAGCAAGTCACTGGGATGGCCTGCACTGAACA